TTATATAACAGGTTTTTGAAAAAAGAAAAAAGAAATAGATCTCCTTGCTTGTCCATAATAACAAAAAAATAGCAAGGTATCGAATGAAGTACTCTATTAGTATCTGTATCACTTTAAGGGTACTGGTTTTTGTAAAATTTTAAACGATACCCAACCATAATCCCACAATGAAAGTGGCGTTTGGAAGGTGCAGGTCAAAATCAGAAAAGAGGAAGAAATAAGCACATAAAACAGTACAAAGAAGATCTTTAGCAATAAAAAAACTTTGGCAACAGTAATGTGATTGAGATAACATGCATGACAGTCAAGTCCTACTGCTTTCAGTTGTAGGATTTATAAGATACACATGCCTGGCGAGGAGGTACGAGTGCATTCGAGTGTTTTCAGTAGCACTTTTTCTACAGTGTTCAAGGAAGGTTAAAATCAAGGGCAACTGGACTTGGTTGAAGATACTTGAAGAGGTTTCGCCTCCCAGAGGCTTCTTCAGGTCTGACTGGCAGAAAGTCCCAGCTATGTGGGGTCGTTATGAAGGTGATGGATACCACTTGGTTCTGTTGCAACAACAGTCGTTGCGGTCACTGGGGACACGTGAGGCCGAGTCTGAACAACCGTCTTTGGCCTTGTCACATGTGAGCGTCTTGGCGTGTTCTTGGATTTCAAATACACAGGGATGTGGTGTTTCTTGAAAATCCTCCTGAGTTTTACTGAGTACATCTGTATTGTGTGTGTTGTGCAGTATTGGACTCATTCTGTCACATCCCGTGCTTGTCACTCTGCATTTAAACTCATTCAGTCTGAATTATGTATTAGCCCCACTCACTTTCACAACCATCTGTCTGCTAATTCAATACCGCAAGCTGACACACAACATGGGCAAACAAATGCATTCACATTTGCGTCCAAAACAACAACAAAGAGCGTTGTTTTGCTTCATGAATTGGATTTCTAGTTCCTTTCATTGTCAGAATTACTGTGTTATGAAATAACAGGAAAGAAATATATATTTTCCACAAAGATGTTGCTTCTATCCCACCACTGGCAACTGATAATAGGCCTTAGAAAATCTGTTTGTTATATTAAAGCTGGATTATTTACACAGCATCAACACCTAAAAAAGAGAAGAAACCAGCTGACACTCAAGGCTGATTGCTTGATTTGTCACTTTACTACAATCATCAGTCATCCGTCACACTGCGTTGTTTCCTGCTAGGTGGCAGTAACACACCAACACTGCTTCTCTACATCCCAACTGATCTTTAAGTAGTTGCACACGTTTATGCTTAAAACAAAGTTTTTAAACTTTATAAGTAGAGCACCAGATGTTGCACAGTAGTAGAGTAACACAGGTTAAACAAACAGTAAGTAAAACAACTCCTAGAAATCACTAAGCACCACTCAGATATCTAACACTGCAAAACAAAAAGAGCTTTTATAGTTCACTAGTCCAGGATTACAGCTATTGTACATGTAGCCTAATGCTCTTCATTTTAGCCTCAATTGATGTGATGTAATGACTGACGTTAAATCCCTCTCAACAATCAGCAGCGATCTAATGGGCTTTAATCCAGACTGAAAGTTGGATTTCCCTTCATTCAATTCTGCTGAAAGCAAAGGGCCTACATCAACCCGCAAAAAATTTAATATTTTCTGCATATTGTTCTCCATCACATTCTTTACATTTTTATTTATATATATAGCACCATATCATAATAGGCTGACAGAGGTTATCTCAGGGTACTTTTTATATAGAGCAGGTCCGGGGCAAAGTTAAAACTCACTTTTTAACAGGCAGAGACCTCAATCAGAACCAGGACTTTCAAAAGATTACGTTAAAACCAAAGATTAAAACGTGGAAAAGATTGTAAAGTTCAGAATCTGATGTCAATTTATTTATGCTGAGCTGGTTCTTTTATCCAGAAAATGTTATTGTCTTTGATGAGTTTTATTTTCAGGGACAGAGAGCTGGATGTAGTTGCACTAGATGGGAAGTAGATTTTATTTGGAACGTTTTAATTAATTCAGAGTCGAGGTGTGTAACTGCAAACAGGTAAACTCAAGTTTTTATAAAACGTTTATTCTGAAAAATCCCCACGTCCCAAGAAACATCTTTACGGGAGGCTGGAACTACCTCAGAGAGAACAAGAACTTGTTATTAACAGATTTAATTCTTTCAATCCCTTTCATTCTTTTGACCTCTGAAAACCTTTCAAAGGCCCCTGTTATCCTCTTAAAAACCCTAGCAGCAGTGATCTGATGTTGTGCTTCAGACATCAACCAAAGACAAACGACACAATAATCCTGTAAACCAAACTGAACCCCTCAGGAAACTTCTCACAAACAACTGGACGTCACGGGGCCCCTGGAACTAAAGCAGGGATTGCTGGACATTAGGGGTGTGACGATACACCTAGCTGACGAGATGATACACAATACTGGATTCACGAGAACGAGACGATGTTTGAACACTATTTTTAAGCAATTTTCAATGGAATATATCACTGATAAAATTGTCTCAAAGTCACAAAATGTAAAACAATGCAGGTGCATTTTGAAATGCTGCTTACATAATGTTTGTGTCTTGCGTGTCATTGTTGCCCAAAATGTTGCCACACAAACGTTTTAAAAGTGGCGGGGGCGTCTTCTATGCTAATTTCACTCTGTCATGCTGATATAGTGAGACACCTCGGCAGGACATATTGTCACTTTGTGATATCGTGAGATCTTGTCACACCCCTACTGGACATGATTCAGGACCCAGAGACCTCCTCTGGGTCTTCAGAAACTTTTCAACCAACACACTCTCACTCCCAACTTGTCACATATGGACACTTGGTCACTTTTTAACACCCTGGGTACTCCTTTAGCATCGTTTTTCAACGTATAGGGCTCCGTGGTCAAGTTAGCAAGAATAAATATTCAACGTTCGGTTAGACTTTCAAAATAAAACATATGGTGGTTGTGGGTAACGTTTGTGAAATTGTATTTTGGCTTTTAGGCACCAAAACTAGTTGGTTAGGTTTACGGAAAAAAAACCTGATTTGGCTTAAAATAATGTTAGTTATGACTTATCTCGCATAAGTTAACGTTACTTACGTGAAAAACCTAGGAAACATAAATAAAAACATTCAATGTTGACTTTTTATTTCACATTTGAAACCAACACCGGTGTCCTGGTAGAAAGTCTTTCTGGCCCTCCGTCCACTCGACCACCTCCTTACTTAGACTTTTCAGTTATAAATTAACCACCTATCCTTACCATTAAACAATGACGCTACAGGGCTTCCCCCAGTGTGTTGAACTATGCCGCTAAGGGGCTCCCCAGTGCGTTATAAACTGACAACAACAGGTCTTCACCATGCCTCCGAACAGGCGAGCCCCCTATAGGACCTTGAATCACTTCTGGGAGCCCATCAAGAGCCATCTAGACGTGTCTCAAGACCTCTGAGGGACCTCCCGTATTATCCTGCAAGCCTTCAAGGACCCCTGGATCTTGTCATTATCAGGAGGGGAAAGCTTTAGAGGGGGTCATGAGAGAAACATTCATTTACAGAAGGAAATGAGATGCAACGGTGTTTCTGCTGAAAGCTCATTTCATTACACAGAGTGGAAACTAAAAGGCTGCAGCAGCTTTGCTCGAATGAAGCAGCTGTCCGTCCTAATGTGATGAAACTGTTCCCTTAACAAAAAGCACTTGTTATATGTTACCAGCGCTTTACAATTCTGCTGCATTTGAATCCAATTTAGATGTCTGTTCAGGTGTTTCCCTTTCGGCAGTTTAGCTTGGAACAGGAAGCATGTGGTAATTTATCTTCTGTTTTACTTCACGTTTAGAAATCAGCCACTTCCTCTGGCTAAAATTCAAGATGTCACCATCCAGTATCAAGTTCCTCCTCCAACCGTCACCTGGCTGTCGGTGTTAACACATCCAGGACTCAGTAACAACAGTTGCCCAGAGTGCGTCGTCCGCTTTAAGGCGATTCAGATTACTCCACTTCATGCTTGTAAGTGCCCCTGACTTATTTACGCTGCATTTTGGGCTTTACACACCCACATATATTCCTAAAAACGAAGACATACAAAGAACCAAACTCAATCTACTTTTGCTGGAATTGTGTATGTTTAAATCCACTCTGACTCTTGCTAAGAATAATGTTTTTCACAATGTTTTACTAGGCCCTGAAAAGTCAAGTCAAGTCAAATAATTTATAAAGCACATTTAAAAACAACCACTGTTGAACAAAGTGCCGTACAAAGTTATACAATTATAATTACATTTTCTGCCACAGGTCATTTGACGTGAGAGATTTATGTGAGCGGTGCTCTGTTGGACACGTGATGTAACAGATTTCTGTGCACAAATCAGGAGTTAAAAAACATTTGAATCAGGATCTGTTGACACATGTGGAGTTATTTGTTGCCAGGGTGATAATGCTGTTAATCAAATCTGATCAAACCACACCCACACAGTCCTGATGGAGCACATTAGCCTCATATAGGAGTTTTTGAGTGCCTTTAAATAAAAAATGACATGCAGATTTCCCCCCAAACTTTTTGTTGTTGGTTGTCATGATAATCTTCATGTTAAAGAGAAATATTTAAGATTCGAAACAGCTTTGATGTAGTTTTTAACAATTGTGAAGTACAATCCCACGTTTATGGAAAATGGCTGTTACCATCAGTGGTGAAAGAAGTACTTAACTAAAGTACTTCAGTAAAATTTGCAATACCTCAGTATAGACATACTCAGTTACAAGTAAATGTCCTTCATTCAAAATCTTACTTAAGTACATTTGTATCAAAATATCTTACTTTACCAAAAATAAAAGTACTTAAAATTCAGAATTGTCCATTCAGAAAAAAAAAAAAAAAAAAAAAATATATATATATATATATATATATATATATATATTACATAACTGCATTACAGTTATTGATGCGTTAATTTGTTCATCACTTTAATGTTGCAGGGGGGGAAAGGTAAAGCTAATTTCATATACTACACTTCACAGAGTATCTATCCGACTTGTTGCAATTGTTTCTCATAATTTATTAGTTGAATAGTATTTATTAATATCTGTATTTACAGTAAATAGAGGAAATTCTTGAACTAGGACTGCCTGAATTCTTTCTAGCTCGTAAACACACACATACAAAAAAGCCTTTACCATTTTAATTGAAAGTTCTGACTGTTTGTTTGGTGTGTCAACAACTTTTTTGTTTGCACTGACTTTGATTAAATGTTTCAGAGACAAAGACCAGGATCATAGAGTCAGACTGAGATAAGGAACCTAGCAGTGTGTGCAGTCTAATATCTGGAGCAATTAATCAAATAAAAAACGTCGCTGGCAGGACGACAGCCCTTCTTTCTGAAAAACTGTGAAGGGGCACTTCCTTATTTGCTCCCTAAAAGGTTATAAAATGAGTAATCAGTCCACTGAACCCTTCACTGTTTCCTGCTTCCACCTCTGTTGACACACTAACACACTCTCCGTCACACACATCTGTTCAGAGGCACTTTTCATCATGGGGAACTTTGCTGCCAATGAGGGACTCTCCATCTTTGTTATTGTGAGTATATTTGCTTTAATCACTACAGTTAATAGCTGTACAGTCTTCTTGTGGTTCTCCGTTGCACCAATTTATTTATTTTTTATGGGTTTGTTTTCTTTATCAGCATTTCTATACCAATAAACCTGCTTGTTAACATAACATTTCCTTGAAGCACATGGACCTTTGACGAGAAACTGGTGGACACGCAGTGTGCAGCCAGTGATGGGAGGCAAAGCTTTGACTAAAAGGGACACAACCCAGAACGGTTGAGAGCCTCTGCTCTACATGATAGCCTAGATTTCATGTTTAGAAAATATTGGTATCCATCATTAAAAAAAATCCACTATGTGTGACGTTAAATTTTGAAATGCAAACTTTACTTCAGGTCCAAGATATGACATCTTTGTGCTTGTATTTTTAAAACATTCTGTAATTTCCCAGAGTAAGAGGCTGAACACGGTTTTATTTTGGTATTTGTGCTGAAAAATTTCAACAAAAATGGATTTTGTTGTAATATTTCTTGATTGACTTGTTTCATTCATTCATTAGTTTTGAATTATTGGAGTGAAATCTTTTGATTTAACACGTGTGTTGATGTGTCTTATAGCTGGTATGGCTGGGGATCAATGCCTTCCTGTTTGTCCATTTCTACATGGCCTTCCTGGTGCCGAGATGGTTTTACACCAGGGTCCTGCTTGGGGTGAGTGTGATCTGCAGACTTTCACACAACATGCCAACGTTTTAGTTTCAACTTTATTCTATATGGAGTATAAAGTAGTCTGCGCTGAGCTGATGCTGCACCTTCAAAGCAGCATGTATCAAAATCATTATCAGAGTTTTATTTTTAAGCTTCTGAAAGAGGAAAAATAGTAAACTAATCAAACAACTCATGAAAGTAGTAGGAAACAAAGGAAAAAAGTCAAAAAACAGGCCCTTTTCAGTTCCTCATACTGCAGCGGGTGCTGTCCAAGAAGCCTTCAGTTACCAACACACACACTCATTCTTCTCCTTTCTTCACCACCCAGCAGGATACTATATAAACATGTCACCCTTCAGTCCCCTGTAATGTGAATATTTGGTGATCTTGTTAAGTCTTCTTTATGATCAAACAGAATATATTTGGGTTTAGGACTGTTGGTACAAACAAGCAGTTGGAAGATGTCGCCTTCTTGGGCTTTAATAATAAAAAAAAGTGAGATTTTACAGAAAGACGATTAAATCAGTTGGCACAACTTGCTCACACCAGATCCATGGAGATGTAGCCTGAATTAGCTCACACAATGCTAACAGTGTGTTGGCAAGATAAACTAAGGTCTAACTGTGTTAGCTATAATGCTTCTTTTGAAATACCTGCAACGATTTCTGTATATCAGTATAAATATTGGACTTAATTACAATGAACTGCTGCCAGGGGAGAATTTGCAGCCATTTTGGTTTGTTGACACTTCTGCACTTATTTTGTCTTAGCTGCCAGAAATTCCCCATATTTCTGGCAGCTAATGATTCTGATTATGACTAACTCTTGTAGACTTAATGGTTTTTCCACTCAGCTGCGCATGTTTACAGTTAGGGCTGGATATTGGTACTCATTTCCTGATTGATTTCTGTGAAAAGCCCCAATTGGATTTATTTCAACTTCATTTTATTTTGAAAGATTCACTTGCATAAATATACCAGCAGTGCAATATGAAATCACACTTTAATATTATTAAATTGTCATAAATAGCCAAACAAGGGAAATTAAACAGTAAAAGTTATAACGTGCATGTAGTTTAGTGCAAATGAACACATTTTACTGAGAAAAGACACAAAATCATGATTAACCAACTGATCTGAAGTTTCCCTTATATATGTTTAAAGTTAATATCTCATTTATATTCTGTATCAGCTAGTTTGAACATGTTGTTCAATGTTTTAGATATCTTTGGTCACTTTTGGATCTTGGAACAGTGCGATGTTACTGCATCTTAGATGTCAGAGAAAGACAGATTCAGTTATAGCAGGTGATTCATTTATGTTCATCCTGTAACAAAGTGCCACACGATAAAATCCTCTTGAACTCTTACTTACAGTAAATCCAGGCATCTCAGAGCACTTATCACACCTTATCTACACCACCTTCCATTTACAATTATACTGGCTTACGGTGAGGGGAAGTAGGTCTGACGTGGGGGTTGAAGTTTGCTCTGTGGTCACAGCTGGCTTCATGATACACTGATTCGATACCACTGGATGCACAGCTGGTGAGCAGAAGTGAAACACAGAGGCTCTTAAAATCTGTCTTTTTCCATATTTAAGTGGACCGAGTATATTAACAAATGTAGAGAGACGAGGAACAATAGCCAGAGTTCCTGCTTTATACTTATTTACGGAGCTTTAAGGGATAAATGGGTTGAGATAAAGTAAGGTCAGAAAGGTTAGTGATTTGGTTACGTTGAGGTCAGGGTGAATATTATAAGGGAAAGCCACAGTGGTGAAGGTCTGGGTTAGGCTTTTCTAACAGTTGCACATGTGTATTCTCACTAGCATTTAGTGGGAATGAATTACAGAAACATGATGACATCAAGACTAATAAGACCTCTATGGAAGATTATGGATGCCAAATATTAAAATTAAATCATTTAATCAAATAAAAAATTCATTTTCTAACACTAATCTCTCATTTTCAGTATAAACAGATATTAATTAGAAAATATTTCTCAGAGGCAGACCTGCTCTGGAAATTAACTCACGCCCTGAATTCATTTCCATTTGTCATTTTTGTTTTTATCTTTGCTGTTGAAGTCACTTTGTGGTTAACTGTCTGAGATCTAAATCCAACCTGTGAAATTACTTCTGTAACCAGAGATTCATTTAAACAGGTGGTATTATGCTTCCCTCTCCTTTATTGAGTTTATATCTTTTTTGTGCATGTAAAAGGTTTGCAAAGTGAAAAAGCCCAAAGTGAGTTCCCATCTCCCACAGAAAACTCTGCTCTGAGCTGCCTGAAAACAGCCATTCATAACGCCATTTTTCATACAGTTATTCATACAGTCATTACGCTCGCCAAGTGGCTACTCTGAAACACCCTCAAAACCACAGGTGGAAAAACAGTGAGCTGCAGCACACAGCTCTCCTCACCCTTCCAAACAGTAGCTACCCTCCAGGCAGTCAGTGGACATAAAGTTGTTCCTGTGATGTAGAGACAGAGCTCAGTTAAAACTGTATGGATGAAAGATCCTTTTGTTACAGATTAATAACTCACCACTCAGAAACTCTCGCTCCAGTCCATGTTGCCAAGCTGGTCGGCAACATGTACAGCTGAACCAAAGCTGTTTACCGGCTTCTCATGACCCGCCCTACTCTGCTTCTGATTGGCTAGTAGTCCTTACCTAGGCGCTACACATGTGCAACTCCCAACAAAGATCTTGTGGAGGTGAGATGTATCACTCCATAGCTAAAACACAGCAACCCCTAAATAAGATTGTGAACCAGAAAATGAGCATAATACTACCTCACCTCTTTAATCCTATTTCACTTTAGCACTGGATATTTTATGAATGGTGAAATGATGAAGTAATCTGATTACATTTTGAAGTAACCCAACACTCCTTCTCACCCATCAGCAAGCTCTCTCCTGGGCCAGAGCTCCTGCTGCCTGCCTCAACTTCAACTGCATGCTCATTCTGTTGCCAGTTTGCCGAAACCTGCTCTCCTTCCTCCGTGGCTCCATTCAGGTATCAATAAAAACAAATATTTACTCCAAAACAGGACAGAAAAACCATTAAAATTAAAGCAATTACTTTTCTCCAGCACATGAGGAATCCAATTTGTGGATTGTTTTGTTTTTCTAACTATTACAGGACTTAATTTACATAAATTATTTGCTGTTAGGGTTTATTTTGAATTAGCTTCTGCTTTAATTTCATTTATCTTTATTTTAACATTGCAATATTTGTCTTTGTTTATTGTATGCAGTACTGCAGCCGCACAGCAGCCCGTCAACTAGATCGGAACCTCACGTTTCACAAACTGGTGGCTTACATGATCGCCTTCCATACAGGTATTATGTTTGTTGAAGATGTAAGCAGGTATGGCAATCATCACTTCTGGAAAACTTGAAAGAACAGCAGTATTTTATTAACTTAATTATCAAAAGTAACATTTTAATGGAAGATATCAATATGAACTGTTGCTGAACTGTAACTGCATCACCAAAATATAAATAATTTACAACTGAATTTATAACTTATTAAACCTCAACCTCAAATCTAACTTCACTTACATCCACTTAATATCAGTTTTTGTCATTTTTATTAATTATTTGTCACATTTTACGGCTTCTACTCACTTTGTCATAACTCTCCTTTCTCGCCTTCTCATAGCTGTGCACATTGTTGCACACTTGTTCAACTTTGAGTATTTCATGGACGCCCAGCTGAACCGCAACAGCAGCTTTCTGCCCTTTGTCCTGTCTGAAATCGGCACCGACGACAATGCCTCCTTCCTGAACCCCATTAGGACCAACGAGACGGTGAGTTTTGGTTACCAGAGAATAAAAGTCCATATACATTTCTGTTTTCAGATAACATGCAGCTTGTTTTGTTTCTTTCAGTCATACATGTAGTTGGATGCTTCTTGTGTTGCTACAATCTGTGAAATCCCTGCTAAATTTGGTGTCAGTGACAAAAAAAACATTATTACTTAATCTGACAAACTTCCTCTTTGAAAGTATTTGAATTTGGATATTTGCTCATTTAAGAAACTTCCTCTTTGCAGATAAAGTTTTCAGCTTCCACACGCCTTTCTTCCAAAGCCATAACACATAAAATAGGCAGCTTCTCATATCAAAATTGATATTAAGCAACTTTGTGTGCAACAGTTTAAAGACATATGGTGAAGCTGCATTCTGCAGTTTTGACCCCAAATTCTGAATCTGAGACCAGAATCCTGCAAAAATGCCCCACAAGTCTACATTTTAACAAAATACATTTAATATTATAATTAAACAACTCCCAAAGTGAGATCATTCCTCTCCCTCTTTGTACTGACTTGAATAAGGTTATAAGGTTTTTTGCTTCCTCGTATTTTCTTTTCTTTTAGACTTTGAACTTCAATAAACAGTGTTGCAGTTATTATTTATTATTATATTGCAAAACAGAATCAATTCCTATCTTAATTTTGACCTGACAACTCAACCGTTTTCCATTTTTCACAAATCAGCTGGTATTTTAACAGCTAAGATATTATATTTCGACTGCCACTTTCACTTCACTCAGCGGTTACTCTTCACACTTTTCATCTCTCATTCTTTAAAGATAGGGGCATGCCCTATTACAGGAACTAAATATTGAAAGAATCCAACCGAAAAAAAATTCTCCCTCCCTCCAGGCTTCCCTCCAAAGCCACTGCTCATGTCCTTGAGTAGTGAGTGCTTGCAGGTAGGCCATTTCATTCAGGCCTTACATATTACCGTCCTCAAACAGCCACAACAGTTCCAACAACAACCTTAAAGAAAGTATGCCTGACTTAGCTTTAACTGGGAGTTTATCTGGTCTCAGTGATAACACGCCTACTCTGTTCAGTGCTTACAAGCCTTTCAGGTCTCAGATCTTCACCTATGAACAAAAAACCCCTGCAAAACCAAAGCTCTTATCTCAAATGCCCCTACGTCCACCGTTCTCCAACCGCTTTCAGTGTTTCCTCTTCAGCCAACAATTTAACAAAACCTTCTCCTTTCAGTTTACACACTTGAAAATTTTTTAAATTTCTTTCAGCACTTCCACTTTAACTGTCTCTACTTCTGCAGTAATTGTATTTTAACTGCATTTCTACTACCTTAAGTATTTCAAATGCAAACTTTCAGCAGCAAGAATATAAATTTGCTTCAGCATGCCAAATAAGTTTAATTTCTATAGTACAATAGCGTCTAAAATATGCTCCATTACCCCAGTGACATTCACTTGAATCAGTTGACTTTCTAGCATCAAAACGCGTCCTAATTCAAAACCGTATGTACCTGTTTTTAAAAATAACCTTGCATCACAAGCAGCAGGGAGTACGTGCCTGCAGTCAGTCTCAGTAGCGAGAGGAACTATTTGGTACATGAGGGAAGTTAGCCAACAAACATGACCTCAGTATTGTGGAAACGAATGAGAAACAGTTTGAGGTGATGACCCTGTGACCACGACCCACGCCATGACTCATCAGCTGTGTGGCTCTTATTTGAGGAAAAATGTGCCAAAACAGTTTAAAAAAAGACAATAAGTCATATCTGGCACGTGAACTGTGAGTAAAAACGAAGTTAACTTCCTGTATTTTGATGCAGAACCCTACCATCGTCATGTTCACCACTATCGCCGGGTTGACGGGCGTGGTCATCACGCTAGCCCTCATCCTCATCATCACTTCATCCATGGAGGTCATCCGCAGGTCCTACTTCGAGGTGTTCTGGTACACCCACCATCTCTTTGTCATCTTCTTCATCGGACTGGTTTTCCACGGCTACGGGTAGGAAGGCACAAAATACAGTTTATATCTTTCTGAGAAATGCCTCTTTTGAAAGAGCTCTGGCTAAATAATTAGTTATCAGTGTCAGCTACTTTACACTGTACACTGTAGACTTGTCTCTTGTGGGTGTTTTAACTCTGACTTGTCTTGACTTGGACACCATTTGCACAAGCGGCCAGATGCATAAAACTGTGTAGATTCACAAATATAACTGACAGACAGAAACATGCAGCTGAACTCTTTTGAACAGATTTGTAAAGCTAACACATGCACCTGGTTCTGTTTTTGTTTTTTTAATCATTGTGGAATTAGGATCACGTGCACAAGCCTCATTTCCACTCCCACACTTCACCATAAACGGATGAGGAAACGCCCTTAATTTGCATATATCAGTGCTTGTGTCGGTTCCACCACTCATTAAACCTTTCAAGACAAACAATACAATTTCTCCAGCAGAGTAGCTGTCATTAAGCACAACTTTGGTTATTTATAGCATCTATACCACTCACACATCACAACTAATTGTAGCAGTGATTTCCCAATCATCATTTGGTCAGAAGTATGATCAGTGACTCATTTATAGAGCTCATTTTGAAAATGACTTCATGAACAAACTGCTTCACAATTCAGTATAAATTCAAAAGGATGTAAAGAATAATGGATCTAAATATCAATTCCTCCTTGGTGTGTTGTTCATTGACCACAGGCGGATTGTGCGAGGTCAGACGGCCGCTAGCCAGATCACAAACGTCCCAGAGGAATGTGCTGACCAGTTTGAAGACTGGGGTAAAAACGGGTCCAGCTGTGCTGTACCAGAGTTTGCTGGAAACCCACCGATGGTGAGCTGCAGGGTGTTTTATTGAATTAACTTTTTGTTATCTGAACTCCCAAAGGGTTTTTTGCAAGTCTATTTCAATCATTGGTTTCCTTTTATCTTTTAATTAATTATTCTACCAACCAAAATACTTTGAGCATGTAGCATTTTCTTTTACGCTGTCACTATTATTTGCAGTAATTCATTCAAATGTATTTATTAGGATAAAACCCCTTGAAAAGCACCATGTTGTTTCTGTGGGAGTCCTAAAATATATAACAATCACTACAACAGAGGAGTTATCAATATGGCAATGTACAAAGAGAAGAGAGACTATTACAACCAGAAGATGGCCAAATAGCCAATACTGGATAAGCAGTAGAAAAATATAATCAGTTATAAACATAAAGTACAATATATTATACACAATGTGACCGCTTCATTGATAACAGGAGCGGACCATCTCAAGCTAAGAAGACAGGCTGTGTTTAAACATACCACATGGTGATATGAATCAACAGGTTTATTTATTATCCATAATTTAGTATACCTGTATATTTAACAATATTTTCCTTTTCTCCAGACGTGGAAATGGGTGGTGGGCCCCATGATCCTCTATGTGTGTGAGAGGCTCGTCCGCATCTATCGATCCCACCAGAAAGTGGTCATCACCAAGGTGTGTATGTGCTAAAATAAAGCTTTTAAACAGACTGTAGAGGAAAAGCTGCAGTCTGTTGAAATGTCTTTGAGCACCCGTACAAAAGGTCAAAGGACTTTAAAAGTGCTTCGGGTGAATTGAATGTCTTTTGCCTTTTATCTTATTATTTTTTATCATCAGCTCTGAGGAGGTTAGGTTCTCTATCTTCTACCTTTGTTTGACAGATCAGGATATTTCTGAAACTACTTGGTAAATTTCAGTGAACTTTGGTGGAAAGTTCGGCCATGGACAAAAGGAAAAGGTTACTTTTTATCAAATGCAAATAGCAGTACAACATGGCATGGGTTTTCAAAGTCTGAGTCTGAGGCTCCCCTCACTGTTTCACTTGGTCAGTTGTGCTCAAGTCCTGGATGCCTAAGGGATCATGATAATGTTATATGATCACATAGACAGACCGAATAAAACCAAGACAGCCTAAAATTGCAGTTTGACAGCACAGACTACAACAAATAAATTATAAAGGTCTGTCCTGTGGCATTTATTATTCTCTGGGAATGTGGGGAAAACAGTAAAATTACCTAAATCTACTGTAAATCTTTACTGAAATCTGAATTTCTTTAACCAAATCAAGAACAAAGTCAAAACATTTTTCTGATATGACCACAATGTCTTGAGTTTGAACTGTTGGTCAGACAAAACAAGACATTTGTAGATGTCATTTGGGCTCTGGGAAGTAACACAATTAATCAAGTAATTGCAGTTAAAAGAAATTAATGACAACATGTTTTAGCCCTTTTTGACACATAAGCTTAAAATAGTAATTATAACTCTAATAACACCTCACCTGTCCCTCAGGTGGTGATGCACCCCTCCAAGACTCTGGAGCTGCAGATGAAGAGGAAAGGTTTCCACATGGAGGTGGGTCAGTACGTCTTCATCCAGTGTCCGTCCGTTTCCCGGCTGGAGTGGCACCCCTTCACCCTGACCTCCGCCCCCGAGGAGGACTTCTTCTGCGCCCACATCCGTATCGTTGGAGACTGGACTCAGGCGCTGTACGAGGCCTGCGGAGGAGACAAAACTGAGCCTCAGGAGGCCTGGAAACTGCCCAAGTATGACAACAGGGGAGAGGGGTTATAAAAGAGGAAAGCAGCGCCTGAAATTGCTTGTGATTACATTTGATTGCAACCTCAGCTTCACAGACGCAGCGCTCCTTTGAAAAGCTGGCAGCGGGGCTCACACTTACTGCTCTGAGTGGTCCATTGAGCTCTGAGGCAAATTGTAGCAATCATATCATTGTTGACCATCTTTCCAACAACAAATTAGTTTTCCACAGTGGTCCTGTGGAGCAAGCTGGAGGATTTTTCTGTTCTCTTCAGACCAGACAATAAAAAAATATTGGCCTTTATTCAGAGCTGCTGCCTCTGATGAAATTACCTGCAGGGAACATGAAGAAAATAATTTAATGTTTAGTTGGGCTGGATATTCTTTTCAGTTCAAGTTTTGGAAGAAAACAGCAAATATAATGCATTAACACAGCACTATTAACAATCTGTCATATGTAATAATGTATCAATCACAGGCATTACTGCAGAACAAGTACTAAAGTACTTGTGTTGATAATACTTCTGTATTACACATTTGTAAACAAATTTTAATTTTAAGTTAACTGTTTTTTTTTAGCATTGCTATCTTTACTTAAGTGAAGGATCTGAGTACTTTTCCCACCACTGATTGTTTTGGCTAAAGTTACGGCATCAGTTTAATAATTCCATTCTTCTTTGAGCAAGAAATAAAAAGAAGATCAATTTTACTGAAAAGCAATATCAATCTTGCTCTTTTGGCAAGTAGGCTATAGTTTACTTTAGGACGCAGCAAGGAATTGACTACTTCTTCATTCCTTGTGTCTTAAACTGCACACTAAAGACTAAAGTGTGAAATGTTGGTACTAACGCGCACACCTTTATTGTACAAGATTACGACTTCCTACAGTCTTTTGATTGTACCATCTCATACGATTTATCCTCAGTTAACAGGGCCGAGTAGAATTACAAGGGTTAGAGTCCCTGTTTTCTCCTCTGGTAACTTGTCGAGAGGGGCCCGCTGTCAGCCGCTTTTAACAGAGTTTGTAGCATGGACAATCTGGATTTACAGTGACGACAGTATCTAAGGAAGGGTCAGAGTCCCCTTAGGGTCAGAGTCCCCTTAGGGTTAGAGTCCCCATAGGGTTAGAGTCCCTTAGTGTTAAAGGGTTAGAGTCCCTTAGTGTTAAAGGGTTAGAGTCCCCTTAGGGTTAGAGTCCCCATAGGGTTAGAGTCCCTTAGTGTTAAAGGGTTAGAGTCCCCATAGGGTTAGAGTCCCTTAGTGTTAAAGGGTTAGAGTCCCTAAGTGTTAAAGGGTTAGAGTCCCCTTAGGGTTAGAGTCCCTTAGTGTTAAAGGGTTAGAGTCCCCTTAGAGTTAGAGTCCCCATAGGGTTAGAGTCCCTTAGTGTTAAAGGGTTAGAGTCCCCATAGGGTTAGAGTCCCTAAGTGTTAAAGGGTTAGAGTCCCTTAGTGTGAAAGGGTTAGAGTCCCTAAGTGTTAGGTAAAAAGGATAGAGTGGGAGATGGGGAATCCAAGGAGTAAAATAAGCTGCCTGTGTTTATTATCTATTTAACTCTTTTAAAACTTTTTTATATTTCCCTGTTGCTTTTATGTTTTGTGTAAAGCACTTTGAATTACCTTGTTGTTGAAATGTGATATACAAATACACTTGCCTTGCAAGAAAACAACTTACGATTGACATATTTTGAGGTCTAAGCGACTAATAGATTTTGGAGCTGCAAAACTGGCTGCAATGGCTAAACCTCAGGGGCCTCTGTCAAAAGCACGTCCACTAAAGCGCTTGTTTTTGCCACCGACTCCGATGGTTACTCTTACATCTGACAACTTTGTGGAAGGGATCCCTAGACAGACGGACCTTTTGTTAAAGAGTAAGATCTTTTTAGTTTAACCAGAAACAGAAGCTGTTGCAGGAAGATGACAGTGGAAACACACGTCAGTAAGTCATCTTACTCTTTAACAAAGGGTCTCTCACTTCAAGGACACATATGAACATGGATTCATCATTCAGAAAATGTCTGTGCTGTAGATATCCAGTAATGTTTCTCAAATCTGTCTTCCATCCTGACCAACTTCCCTCTCTCTCCATGCTCCCGTCTTCCTCAGGCTGGCCATAGACGGCCCGTTTGGTACAGCCAGCGAAGACGTGTTTCGTTATGAGGTGGTGATGCTGGTGGGCGCGGGGATCGGCGTGACTCCCTTCGCCTCCATCCTCAAGTCTGTGTGGTACAAACGCATCCAGAACAACCAGGACGTCTTCACCAAGAAGGTGAGGAAGACGAAAAAAAATGGGACAAGTTAAATTAATTAAAAGTAAGTCAAGGTCCACTTACAACCTTTTCCTAGAGCTTTCAACCATATCGCATGGTCTGCTTTCGCGGAGGAAAAACAAGAGATGCAAACAGCAGCAGCTTCAAAGCTCAATCATGAGCTTGGAAATAGTAGTTTGACAAACAAACTACTTACGGTCTATTTAGTAGCTTTGTCTGGACCTTTCAACCGTTTTCACATGTTATTCATCAGCAGATGGCGTTTGCACAGTTGCTAGAAGCACAGCACTTTTGGACTTCTCATGAAGCAAGTAAACTTTTGTCATTGCAAAGTTTTCTGAGCAAACTGCATCTGCACATGAAGAGTCTGTGAAATGGTTGAAAGCTCTAGAAAAAGCTACTGTACTGTAAGTGGACCGTTTTTCAACTACTTTTTCCAAGTTCAAGAACGGTTAAAACCTTTGGTGCTACAGTACGAATGACCTCGCATGTCAACAGATCCATATCCATGACAATCTGCCGATGAAGACCAGGTGAAACATTTGAAAGCTCCAGAAAAAGCTACCAACTGGACATTGAGTTGTGATTCATATGTCAAACTATTTCTAAGAACGAACAAGTTTGCTAAACATTTAGTTTAACAAATTGAAGGTCTACTTACTGAGTTTTGTTTTTAGCTTTCAACTGTTTCTTATAGTTTTTCTCAGCAGATGTTCAGTTTAAATTATCTAAAAATGCATTGTTGTGTGTGCTGTTGTGTGTTGCTGTCCTCTCCAGATCTACTTCTACTGGCTCTGCCCGGAGACCCAGGCTTTCGAGTGGTTTGCAGACCTGCTGCAGTCTCTGGAGGGTCAGATGGCGGAGAAGGGAGTGACCGACTTCCTCAGCTACAACATCTACCTCACCCGCTGGAAGGACACCGAGGTAAAACGGGGACGGGGTCATGTGACACCACGAGATGCCTGAAACCCCAGCAACAACACGTTTGTCTGCAGCTTATGAAACCCTACATCACTTTTAAAACCCACGTGGGCTTCTCTCGTTGTCAGGCGGCTCACTTCCGTGTTCACCACGAGGCGGAGAACGACCCAATTACAGGACTCAAACAGAAGACTCTTTATGGGAAACCCAACTGGGACAACGAGTTCACCAACATTGCATCAAAGCACCCGGGGTGAGGACACACACACACACACACACACACACACACACACCCTTCATACAACTTCCGTTACCCATCCATTAATACGTAAAGGACAGAGTGAAGACCAGTAGCTGTGACAGTTTTCAGGTCTGCACTTGTTTTACTACTAGTACAATGTTAAGATTGGTTTCTTTTCACCATGATCACCACCTTTCTTTGTTTTTTTTTGTCTGAAGCCAAACTGTTGTCTTGTTTCTGAATTGCTGGATTTAAGGAGGGACTGACTACCTTTTTTGTTATTTAAGTATGAGGACATGTTCAGGGGACTTTGTGGTAACAATTACAACAACAATCTTGCACACCAGAAAGTCTTACATACAAACTGAAGGACACAAGGGCCCCCGGCTGGTTCCCATCAGCCATCATCACGTCTTCTTTCTTTTAAAAGGTCAACCGTTCTTTTTTAGTGTAAAAGTGTAAAAACTTTGATATTTTTTTATATATATATATTGTTTTTCTGGAACTTCTGGATTTTTCTCTCTCCTTTCTTTTGCACAAATTGGAAATGACCATAAAAATGTGTCACAAAGCAAGTGATTGATGTGAAATAACACAAGGTCGTATTACAACAGGGTTGTAGGATGAGATGCAGTTTCCTTGATGCTACAAAGCAGAGGATTATAAAGTTATACACAGAAATAAACTATGTAATAAACTTGTATTTGTGTGTCCTCAGAACTAAAGTGGGAGTCTTCCTGTGTGGTCCGCCTCAGCTGGGGAAGTCTCTGGAGAAACAGTGTATGTCCCACACAGAGGGCGGCATCAAGTTCATCTTCAACAAAGAAAACTTCTAAACAGAAATCTCCAGCCGCAAGAGAGAGGAAACTTCCCAAGTAGCAGCGGGGCCACGGATTCAGATGGTTGTTTTATGTTTTTGAATGTATTAGAAGGAACTGTAACTACTGGCAGCTCATCCCCGACCTCCTTCTTCTTCTTCTCCTCTTTGCTTCTCACCACAGACGTTATGCAAAGACGCCCCTCTTGCTCAAAATGCTCTGTATTTTCCACATTACCTCGTTCCCCTTTTCTGTTACAACAATAAGTGAAACTCGGCTGGTTTCAAAACTTTCCTTCCTTTTCTCTATTTCGCTGGTTGCTACAGTCAAGCTGCTGTGATACTCGTGCCAATCTTAGGGAGTCAAAAGAAATGCAAGATAAACTGCAAAATCACCCTGAAGCAAGGCATTAAAGCTTTGTCTGCTACAGCGGAGCTGTTGAGTTGCTTCCAGGATGTGACTCAGTGATTTCTGTGCAGTGAACAGCCATGTGTATTTATATGTTCACTCTTATCAGATTCACTGCACACGAGTAGAAGGTGCGTGAGTCCTGGACGAGGCTTTTACAGACCATGAGTGGATTTTTTTGTTTGTTTGTTTGTTGTCTGGATTGGTTTGAAAAAATTGTGTGAGTGATCATTTCCAGACATGTCTGAGAAAGTGACTAAATGTCTTTATGGACATTTTCCAAAAGCATTCAAGCGTAGATGTGTAGAAAGCAAGACTGATGTATGGAACAGTAGGCTATTGTTCATTTTGTTGATTAGAGATGTGATGAACCCCTAAAAATGATATATACTGTATATTTAATGTACATACAAACATTCAAATAGATTTAAAGAAGTCACCACTTCAAAGTACACGTTTACATAGTCAGGGGTTATTATTGTGGCGTATTTACCCAGCAGATATAATATAGTACTAATGATAGTTAGGCATGTTAAGCTTTATATAACTTTAGCATTTTGGACTGTTTGTCAGATAAAATTAGACATTGTGCAAACTTATTTATTACCGTAAAACTTCAATTAATAGCCCAGCCCATTTAGATTTTCTTAAATCTAAATGAATACGTTCGTGCTCATTGTTTCTGTGAAATGAACTCAACTACTGAAATGTGCAGAATCTAACTGAACTAACGACGTGTCGCATCTTCACAATGACAACAGTTTTACAAACATTTATATTTGCATGCACGATCTTAAGCAGCTTATTAAAAGCTTAAGCAGGCGACCCAGCGGGCTGTATGAGTTTTTATACATCCAAACTAGACCAGGCGTCTAAATGAGACCTGCGTTTATTTTTAAATACTACAATGTGGATGTTTTGAAACTATGGGAAAATTCCAGTAAGTAACCACAGCTCGCCGCCCCAGCTTCAGAAAGTTGACTTTTCTTTGTCAAAAAAAATTGTCTGCAATGGTGAAACCAAACAGTGGCTAAGTGGCTGCAGAACTTCCTACAAATATTTTTATTATGTACAAGAGGTGTTTTTCATAATGTCCGTAAATGTAACGGTATAAATGGGTGGTTTGTTCATTGGTATTTTGTGAAAATATCCCCATTTGTTAAACCAATCAGACTACTTTGTGTCATCTTTACGTGTTCTTCTGCACTGCAAACAAGTGAATTTCTGTTTTTGGATAATGAACTTGAACTTACACACAGAAGTGTCGCAGTTTTTTCAGTGTAAATGATTTTGCAAATCATGATTTGTAAACAAAAATGGGAACAACCTTTGGATGGCTTTTCTTTTTTTTTTTTAATTACCGGACACTTTGTGATCCATCCACACTAGTATTTCAGGGATTTAATGTAATTTTAATATCCGCATCAGTCATAATGACTGAAGTTTAAGTTTTCAGTGTTTCTTTTTCTCTTTATTCCCACAACAGTCCTCCCTGAACAGCACAAACATGTTCTTCTGTGGACAAACGCAGCTTTCAGCCAGCGCATTCATCATTTAACTGAACATTAAACAACTTTTCTAACTTCAAGGCTGTTCTTTATAAAGTGCACAAACTCCACAAAGAGGACCGAGTATGTCACCTATTACACTTCTTTCAGTCTTCAATGCATGAAGGTTTCTTTGAGGAATCCTCACAGAAACACCTTCTGTTAATAAAAGTAGACTCACCAACAGCTCAGGGGCCCCAAAGCCAGAACATGTATGAATTTATGTTCATTAACATTTCATGTAGGATCTCAAAGAGCTCAGTCAGAGCAGGGACGTGCTGATGCTGACCCTGCCCATAACGAGTCCATGGTATATTTATCTACACTCCAGTGAAGTAATGCACTTTTAAATATATTAGACAGCACAATACCTCCACAATATGAAGATATAACCTGATTCATGTTTCATTCATTTTGTATAATATTTGCAGAGGGCAACATCAGTGTGGATCAGGAGTTATAAAGGCCGTTTCAGCTCAAGTTCAGGTTTATCTGCAAAATGGTACTGTAAGAGACAAAAAAAGATTTAAAAAGTTTCAGAACACAATTAGCAGAAGTGCATCTGATCAACCGATTAAATAAAACAATGAGAAATAAAGAAGTAAAATAGGGGTAGGGATAAAAATCAATGACACAAGTGAGCAGCTGTGGGGTTTTGCTGAAACGTTCATCTGCCTTTATTCATTGAAGATACGATGACTGAACACGGTTCGTGAATCTCTTCATGTACAAAAAGTACAAAAATCCTCTCTCTCTGCTCGACATGATACGTATAATAAAAAGCAGAAGAATCAAACAGAATGTGGCGTTTACAGCCGCTGCATGCTGTCAGGCGTCAGTGATAAATACAGTTAACTGACACTATTAAAGCGCTGCAGTGACATGAGGAGATAAATACATTAAGGTGATGTTTACATGCATCGGAAGGCTGAAAATACAGCCGTTTTCTTCTCTGCAGCTTCTCCACAGAGGTGAAAGGTCAAGCTGTGAGCGGACTCTGTGGCACTTTGTTCCCCCCTGCTGTTCACAGGAACACACTGCAATCTTCTGGTGGTGATTTATGTGTGTGTGCACGTCCTATGCAATAGCCACGGCGAACACACTGACCACACAGTACATGGTGCGGTTTTCCCATCTCACCGTGCAGCTTCCTGCAGAGACAAAGCAACAAACAGGTGAGTTTCTAAAAAACAAAATACATAAAGAGAGAAGAGTGAGAGAGAATAAAACAGATCAAACAAAAAAAAGGAATTAAAGTAAACAGCAGAGGCAAGAGAGAAGAACTAAAAAGACAGGAAACAGAAGTAGACTGCTCATAAATTAACATAAAAAATAAAAGAACATGGACTTGAGCTTGAGGGTTGGGTATCGAAAACAGATTCCAAGTTGAAACCATTACCAAATTTCCAAGAACCGTGTGTTCCTAACTTTCTGCATATTTCATAAAAGTTCCTCTTATCTGCCAGGAGCTGCTCCGCTGACCTAACGTCACCTCATTTGTTACGTCAACAAAGCACGAAGAAGAGAGTCCTTCTGTTTCCAGTCCTGGACCATGGCGGACCGGAGTAAACGCTCCAAAGTTTGGCTTAGCTTCACAAAAAAAAAAAAAAAGGGGGACTGATGCAGCAAAACGCAACAGCTGCAGTAAGGAGGTTTGGTGCGAGGGCGGAAGCAGCTCCAACATGACGAAGCCTTTACTTCAACACGGCGTGAATCTAAAGGAACGCACTGTGTTCAACGTGTCGTTCTCTTTGAGACGAGTCCCCAGAGACGCCCCTCTAGGACAGAGACTCCTTTCACTGAAGCCATGAAGGGGAAGATGAGCAAGGTGGAAGACGAGGAAGGTCAAAGAGCGCAGAGAAGATCTGAGATGAAGGAACCAGAACTGAGATTCGATACTCAGACTCCAAAATCGATCAGATGTATACGCTGTGTGGACCTCAGCAGATCCACACAGTGTGTTTGGTGAGTTACACTGAACGCAAACATGACTTTTGTTGGTTTACAAGAACACTTTTCTATGATGGTTTTCTGAACAGCGCGATCCTCTGACTGTGAATCAGCAGTGGAAGCTCTGCTTACCGTCCATGGCAGTGTCCCAGTAGCAGGAGTTAGCTGTGTGGAGGCCTGCTCCTGTTTTCTGCATCACCGCACACGTCACTGTACGGAGAAACACAATATGCACTTTACTCCATTTTAAAATATATGTATAAAATAATACTTTGGGGAATCAAAACAGGAAGAATTTTAAATTCTTAAGGGCTGAAAAAGTGAATTTGATGGTGAAATCTACACCCACACGACCGTAGCTTCACAAAACACAGAGTAGAACATACCGATGTACTTGTACGGTTTCCCCTGTTTGACCAGCTGTGTGAGGCAGCGCTCCACGATGCTGGCGGTCCATTTGTTCACCTGACTCTGGCTGTAGTCGTCACCTGCCACCACGTTCTCAATACACTGAGATAAACACACACACACGTGTTCGTGAGATAATAGCTCAGTCTTTAGTCATGTGGGAGTCAGCGGGTGCCGTTTCACCCTGAGGAGACTGGAAATAAAGAGCCGACACTGTTCACTGTTCATAAACATGTGTTTTCCAGAGAACTGAGGAGTGACACTCCTAAATAAGCTAAGATAAAAAACATAAAATCTCACACAAACAGCTTTATGGCATTGTTCATGTCTTTCAAAATTCAGCTCATTTTGATCTGACATTTTAAAATTATTTTAAAATTAATTTAATATTAAATACTGTCCATTACAACATGCTGCATCATATTTTAACATTTGGAGGAATAAGAAGTTGGACTTCTACAATACAGCACAGCTGAACAGTATCATGTGTGAGAGAATTAGAAGAGACAGCTGGGTGAAAGTGTTACAGAGTGGGAGTATCTCCGCTGTTCAATTGTTTAAATCAGTTTGTCTTGTTATTTTACTCCCATGTTTTTTATTTGTTGACTGAATGACATTGTATACATTTAGTAGGGCTGCAGCTAAAGATTATTTCCACAATAAATTTTCTCGACTCATCGATTAGTTGCTTTTTTTCACAGAAAACTGTGAAAAATTTTGATCCGTGTTTCCCAAAGCCCGAGGAATTATCAACATAGTTGCCGATTAATTTAATAGTCAAGAACAACCACTCGATTAATCAACAAATTGTTGCAGCTTTAACATTTGCAATACAGCCTTTGGCTCAATTTAGCTGTTAAACAGAGAGACAAATGTGCTCCACAAAAATAAATGGTGTTACTTCATTGTGTGAGTTTTTCTAGAAAAAACTAGATACTGTAAAACTTAAATTAAAAGCGGAGTCCCAGATACAAGCCTGTTGTGGCTACATGTTTTGCAGGTCTCATTTTTACGCCTGGTCTGGTTTTTATAGAAGTTCTCTAGATGTATAAAACCTCTTGAAGCCCACCGGGTCGCCCACTTGAGCTAGTTTTAAGCTGCTTAGATTGTGCATACAAATAAAAGATGTTTATAAAATCTTTGTCAATATGAACATGAAACAATGAGCACGAATGCCTTCATTCAGATTTACTGGCATGGCAAAGGAATTAAAGGCCTGTCCCAAATTTAGGCAGGGGGAGTCCAGTGATTTAAGACAATTAGAGCCCAGGGTATTAATTAAAGTTTAACGGTAATTAGGTTGAAATTAATAGGAACTTAGAGACAAATTTGGATTTCAATATTTCACAAGCTGATACATCAGAAAAGTAATAATTTTAACAACCTTAAAGTTACTTAAAAAGGGGAAACAAAAGCAATCTTTATGTAACAAGGTTGATATATTAAGTTACCTCTTTGACAATGTTATCAGCTTCTTCAGAGCTGAAGGATCCCTAAAAAAAGAAAACAAAACCAGAGACAAACATGAGTCAATGCAGGGCATAAATAAATACATGGTTTATATCAATTCTCATTAAATAACTACAGTTTGTCCGTAAAAGACACGACGATTAAAAACAGGCATCATGAATTATTAACAATGTCACTTTCACCACCAACAACAACAATAGGCAGCTAGTTAATTCTTGATATAATATAAAATGTTTCATATGATTTTTCACCGAATATAGCGCATAAAACCAGCTGGTTTTAACGTTGGGATTGGTTAGCATCGGAAGCTAGCTGGCTAATTTCTACCGTGATATCTAAATAAATACGCAGATTCAGGGACAAACCTCGTTGCCGTTGTGGTATTCCTCCATTCCTGTCATCTATCGCCGGTCCAAGGTGGTCACAGTCTTTGTTATTTTAGCTAAACCAGAAGAAAAAGGTGAAGCTGCTGGAAGAAAAACGGAGCTCTTGTTGAGGACTTCCTGCGAGCTGTCAACAGTCAAAGAGCACCACCGAAGAAGAAGAAAACACGGTTAGCTCGCTGCTGACACCTGCTGGTAGACAGAGGAACTGCAGCGGTACAACTTTGTAACTCACTGGAGTTTATTCGATTAAAACATCCACAAAACATGAAAAAGACAAATAGCTGCTTCTAAATCTGTTTAGATTCACATCTGAGGCATTAAATGTGAACGTCAATTCATATAAAACCACACTGTTAATCATTACAGCCCCATTTCGTTCTTCTTTTTAACTCAAAGAGTTCTGACAAGTTTGGGATTTTGGACTCAACTTTATGAGTTTTCGAAAGTTAAGCATTAAGTCATTGTGTTGATTATTTGAGACTTTTTCCAGGTATGTAGCCTATATATTGATTGAACTTGTGTAAATTATAAAAAGAGAAAAAATAGTGTATTTAAATTTTTGAGAGAAATTGTCTGCTTTAAACCATGGCAAAGCTGAAAAAACTGACATAATCAACTAATGATATACTGCAGATAATTATTTAAATTCCAACTAAAATATAGTCAGTTTTGTGGTAAACAGAGCCGTGATATAACTAAAATTTTGCTTAAGCCTGAACCAGTGAATGCTGACTCAATACTGATTCACTTTGGCCAACGGCGGACTGAAGATTAAAAAGAACAATCCAGCACGGACAGAAAGTTTCTCTTATTTGGAACGAAACATCCACAAAAGCCTCACAAACAACATTGACGGCAAGATAAAAGTCTTCCAGTTACAAATTCAGGACACATTTTTAAAACATTGTCTGGTTTCAACATTTGTACAAGATTTGGGACCTTTTGTATAAACAATCACTTTTATATGCACACAAATTATATAATAAGGGTTTTGCAGATGTTCCCAGGGACAGAACTTCATGGAAATATCTGGTTGTTTTAGAGAAAACCAACCAGAGCCAAAGTTACATTACAATACAATAATTTCTACTTTCTTATGCAGGTTTAATCACGTGAAAATGTTATTTTTAACAAGGTAAAGCAGTACAAGGCATGACATTTTATTTTGCCTTGTTTGTTGTTAGCCAAATATTTTCATAGACCATTTGCCAACCTCACATTTATGATAATAATTGCAATAATTTGAATATTTGTGGGCATCAGAATCCACCCCCCTGATGCTTTTGCACGCTAACAAAGAGGCAAAGCTCCTGGATGTTGAGGTTGTTCTTTATAATATACATGTAGTCAGCTCTCTGTGTGAAGTTCAGGCGGCCATCAATCACAGCTCCAAGATTTTTAAACTCCTGACAGTTTCTACAGGGGATCCAGTGATCGTGAAAAGGGTGAACTTCATCAGGAGACTCTTGTGTGTTGCTGGATAAGATCAGTTCTTTGGTTTCACCTCCATTTATTAAACACTCTCCTCACACCACTGCTGCAGAGAAACTACATGATTAAGATATGGGCCACCTTTTGCAGCGTCCCCCTCACACAGAAGGCCAACCAGGGCCACATCATCAGCACACTGTAGCAAGTTAAAGTGAGAGATTTGGATTTTAAACTCACTGGTTTACAAAGAAAACAACAAAGGTGATAAAAGAGAAGGTGAAAAAATAAAGGAGAAGGTTTTAACCGAGGCTTCACTGTAAATGAGGAAACAAAGTTCAATTCCACAGAGCTGCTCCTCTTCCTGTAGTGAGTCCCAGCTCAATAACCCCTCCCTCTTCCTCCTGCTCTCCAATCACAGCGAGCTCCACTCTTTCCATATATTTCCTTGTTCCCTCCCCTTCAGATCTACAGTTTGAAGATGGGTGTAACCAACATGTGCTGACGTGCAGCAGCTGACAGGCTCCATTAACTGCAGAGACACATGCTGTTTAGATCAGAGCTCAAACTAGCTGCACTTCTGAGGAAGTGAAACTCAGACAGTCGTTGCCACTGAGAGAAGCTCCAGGAGAACATCTGCTCTCGTCACGATGAGGTGATGAAGATGTTCTGCCGTACTGATCAGCAGAGTATCTGTTATCTCTGCCCTGTGGATGAACATAAAGGCCACGACACAGTCTCAGCTGCAGCAGAAAGGACCGAGAGGCAGAGAGAGCTCGAGGTGAGTCGACAAAACATCCAGCAGAGAATCCAGGACAGACAGAAAGATGTGAAGGTGCTTCAGCAGGAGGTGGAGGCTATCAATGGCTCTGCAGATAAAGCAGCGGAGGACAGTGAGAAGATCTTCACCGAGCTGATCCGTCTGATGGAGAAAAGAAGGTCTGATGTGAAGCGGCAGCTCAGATCCCAGCAGGACACTGAAGTGAGTCGAGTCAAAGAGCTTCAGGAGAAGCTGGAGCAGGAGATCACTGAGCTGAAGAGGAAAGACGCTGAGCTGAAGCAGCTCTCACACACAGAGGATCACAACCAGTTTCTACACAACTACCCCTCACTGTCAGCACTCAGTGAATCTACAGACTCATCCAGCATCAAGATCCGTCCTCTGCGCTACTTTGAGGATGTGACAGCGGCTGTGTCAGAAGTCAGAGATAAACTACAGGACGTTCTGACAGAGACATGGACAAACATCTTAAAGGCAGTGACTGATGTGGATGTTTTACTGTCAGAACCAGAACCAGAGCCCAAGACCAGAACTGACTTCTTAAAATATTCACGTGAAATCACTCTGGATCCAAAAACAGCAAACACACTGCTGTTATTATCTGAGGGGAACAGAAAAGCAACAGTAGAAGAAGAAGAAGAAGAAGAAGAAGAAGAAGAAGAAGAAGAACGGTCTTATTCTCGTCACCCAGACAGATTCACTACATGTCTTCAGGTCCTGAGTAGAGAGAGTCTGACTGGACGTTGTTACTGGGAGGTGGAGAGGAGAGGGAAAGGAGTTCATGTAGCAGTCGCCTACAAGAACATCAGCAGAGCAGGAAGCTGGACTGAATGTGAATTTGGAGGAAATTACAAATCTTGGGCGTTATATTGTCAGAATACAAGTTATAACTTTTGGTTCAACAATGTCCACACCTCTGTCTCAGGTCCTCGGTCCTCCAGAGTAGGAGTGTACCTGGATCACAGAGCAGGTATTCTGTCCTTCTACAGCATCTCTGAAACCATGACTCTCCTCCACAGAGTCCAGACCACATTCACTCAGCCTCTCTGTGCTGGACTTGGGTTTTATTACTGTTCTCCTGGAGACACTGCTGAGTTCTGTAAAGTCAAATAGTCAGAAGTCATTTCAGGGACAGTGGGTTAAATTCTGTGTTTTCTGTGTTTTTTCCGTGTTTGTTGCTGAGAGCTGATTGTTGTGGCCTTGACCTGTCAATCAAACATTGTGGGCGGTACTTTGAGGTCTTCTCATTAGTTGCTGTGTAAATGTTTGAGTTTCTTTAGGCGGCGCTCCTTCCTGTGTCTGTTTAGCCATGGAGGCTATCACTGCTCAGGATGACTTTTGTTTACCTGAACTGACTTTTCTCTGCATGAAAATGGAAACTTGTCTGAGCTCTAAATGTTTGTTGAATATTTGGATTGATGTATTTGTATGTTGTTGTTTCTCTTCCACTGCATGGGTCTGAAGAGAGAAAGCAGCAGACCTTCCTTTATCTCAGAGATTTTGTTCTCACTCTGGAAAGAAATCTAGAATTACATTCACATTTATTTATTTGGCAGACCAAATGTTGTTGTTGTTGTCCAAAGAGACGTACAAATGAGGGACTGTGAGGTATTTTAAAGTGTAATACTCCTGATCAGAATCAATAAGGAGCTCATTCTTTTCTTTGACAGCTGAGATTCTGCTCAAACACACTGATTGTGTGGATGAAGTGAATCTGTGCATGAAATCATTGAACAAGAGTCATTTAACAGACTTTACTGATGGGATGTGTGAACAAACTGAAGGTTTACATGATGAATAAACAAACATGAACCAAGTCTTTTCTTCTCGTCTTCATTCCAGGGTTTCATACAGAGCTGATGGAGAACATGTGAAACTAATCTGAGAGTAGAACTGAGGCAGTTTCCTCCTGAAACACCACAAAGTACAGAGTTCATGTTTAGAGCAGAAGAGCGTTTGTCAGTCAGTCTCTGTCCTTTCAGCTTTCCTCACTAAAACAGCTTTGTCACAGAGAAATGAGCAGAGTTTTCTGTCACTTGTTGCTTTTTACAACCAACTTTTTGTTTGTGCTCTTAGTCAATAAATTCATTACACAGAATTAAAACAGTGGAAAAACAATCAGAATTAACTGATAAATAGACTTATTTTGCAGCATGCTAGTTTTTAGTTTTCAAAATTGGAGGAATATAAATGGCTAATAAAAGGCTGCAGCCGATCTGTAGCAGATGTTTGCTTCGGTATATTGGTGCATAAATAATAGTTATATAAAATCAAATCAAATAAAAAGCAAGTACTAAAAACACAACTATAACATTACACTAGCAATGTCTATTTAGAATAACGATAATAATAAAGCGACAACAGTCCCCTTTCATACTGCTACTGTTGTTTTTTTTCTACGTTACACAAGCCTGTCCATCACGAGCCAGATGTCTCTTGATTAAAGTTAAAACGTCACAGGCAGGCAAGCAGAGAGACAGCAGGGGAGAACAGACAGAACTAATAAAAAATAACAGCCTGCACAGAAGTAGAAGGAGTAACACTAAGACATGAAACCAAAACCCAGAGAAACCAAAACCAAAACACAGAGTAAACTAGACACAAGACAACAGACAAGACAGAACCCCAAAACACAACAGACCAAAATAACAGATAATCAGCTTGACCAAAACTCATAAAGTGCTAAACTAAAACACGACCGACAGGCAGAATGTGACAAAGAGATGAGTTTTCATAAGCTTCTTGAAGTTAGAGAAGGACGCCCCTGCTCTGATGGCATGTTGTAGCTTGTTTCACAATCGTGGTGTCACAGGTGAGAACAGGGACAGAGATTGCTTTGTGCTTGGGGATCGTGCTCGTTGGAGGAGCGAAGTGGCCAAGACGGAACGTAAACGTATTTGACAGTATTTTTTACATATGTTGAACCAAAAGCCACATAAATTGGATTATTTGTTGATCCCTGGCTGCAATTTCATGTTGTTAATAAAGCTTTTACTTCTGTAATTCTGTCTCTTACATTTTTTTCCTACTCTACATTCTATAAAGTAAAGATGACACTTTTACATAGTTTGTTGCCAAAAATGCACCCATTTGACCCTCAAGCCAAAACCGTGGTGTGGTTTACGGTAAAAGGAAACTGAATTACAAAAAACAATGGATTTCACATTGTCTGCTGTATGCAGGTAGAACTGAAACATGAAAAGTAACGCAGATTGTGTAATGCCATCAACTCTATTTATCCGTGGTGCTGTGATTGATTGTGTTGTTCCTCTCGTAAAGAAAATATGCTATTGCTTTGTTAGAACGATTTGATTTAGAGTTAGGTTTGCTGTGTTTTGGTAGAGTGTTTTTTTTTGCGTTCTGAAATGTAGAGTTTGTGTTTAAAGACCAGGATGTGGTTTGGAGCGGAAAATTTACAATTTGGCTAATTGTGTGAGGTAGGTGTGTTGCTGTGTTAAGAGTTTCAATAAAGTATCTACAGTTCAGGTAAAAGCTTGTTAGCAATTGAAAAAACTGAAATGTGGAAAAGCTCCTCAGCTCACTTTGGCTGCACTTTGAGTTCACAACATGTTTTTAGGCTGATAAAAAGCTTTCTAGTAAAAGTGCATTGTGTCACACATCATGGTAAATGCTGTGAAAGTGCTAAAAGTGCAGATACAATGTCTGTTTGCTTCCTTAAAAATATATCCTACAGGGGATCCAGTGAAGTCAATGGGTGAACTTCATCGGGAGACTCTTGTGTGTTGCTGGATAAGATCAGTTCTTTGGTTTCACCTCCATTTATTAAACACACTCTCCTCTAGGGTTGGTGTAGCCCAGGCTTAAAACTGAGAAACACTATTTAGCTGTCTGACCCAAGTCCCTAAGGGTTAACTTTTATTTTTATCAGCATCTTTGATGGGCTTGTAAGTTAGCAAATGGGTGGACGTTATGATGCAGTGAGCTGACCAATCAGCTGCCAGCTATGTTCCGATACAATGACGCCTCTCGTTTCGCGTCTCTGCACATTCTTTTGGCGCCTGTACCTGAGCGTAGGAGGCTGCGTTATCCCCTTGGTAAGACGAGAAACGACATGGAGTGAATTAAACAAATTCTGTGATCATAATCGCTTATACTGACTATACCCTGTTGTAATATAGAGAGTAAATGAGAGCTGTGCCTGAATCCACTGTTGTCACGGAGCTAAAGGCGGTGAATTCCGCTAAAATGGTGAGTTGTTTACCTTGCGCTAGGCCTTTGAGTTCGCTAGCGTCCATGTTAACAGGCCCAGGCTTTTGAGGCCCATTTGTATTTAATCTAGCCTGCTGAGTTTACTGGGAGTCCGCTAGCATTTATGCTAATCGGCGCTAATCGGTGAAGCTATGCAAAGGTGCTAATTGTGTAAAGTTAATGTGAGACTGCTGTATTCATATGCTAATAGGGTAATTAACCACAATACGCTATCGGAATACTCTTTAATGCCTGTGAAAATTACAAACTATTTTGTTTGTGGGTTATAAAAGGAATTGTTACCTTTCCATGTTGTTGCTAAATGGTTACTTTGAAAAAATAATGATGTTAAAAACTGTTGTTACTGGAAGTTAAAGAGGTAAATTTTTAGTGCATTCTTTCCACTGTTACCGGTGCAGAGGGGGATAAATGAGCACGCTAACACCTTAATGCCTCTAATTTGAAGTAATACGATTTGATCAATGTTTACATGCAATGCCTGCAGTTTATTTATGACACTGCTAATGTTACTTAGGGTTCATAAAACTTAGTGTTTATATCAAGGATGTAATTTTTGATGTACATGTACTTTTGATAATTGAGAAATTCATACTTTTTATATATAAGAAGAAACAAGAAGCTGTTGTACAATGAGAGAGCGATTTTGATATTGCATTATAGGTGTACTGAAATATTTCATTTTATTTTATAGTAGCCCATGTAGCAGTCCATGTATTCGCTGAATGGTAATTGAGAGAAATGATTTGGCCTTGTTTATAGGTCAGGTTTTGGTAAAGAGTTGGAAGCCTTGTGCAGCTGAGATCCATTCCACGGAGTGATACCAATCTACATGTTCCAGACGTTTTTCCAGAGCTTTGTGGATTCCCAGTCTAGGTGGCTGGGTGGCGAGCCAACCGTGTTTGTGATTCTGACTTTAGACGGATTGCCAGGATCTTCCTCATCTTCATGGTGGTAGGACAAACTCTAACACAAACTTAAAAGGGCCCCAACGGTGAGAAATGAACTCTTGTCAATAAAGGCAAGTGGAACTAAGGACGAACTGAGCTCAACGAAGTTAAAAGGAAGGGGTTTTTTTTATGTGTGCACTTTATTATTTTAGTTTGTTATTTTTCATACCTGCTTTTTTATGTATGTACCATCCCTGTGTATTTAATACACTTAATGCAAACTGTCATTCGGGTGTGGTATTCTTTTTATTGACATTCAATTCTCAGGCTCTTAACAATTTAGTGTCTTCTGACTCTGGTCCACATTGATAAGACTACTTTAGACTATGTACATTATTACTACCACAACTCAATACAGAGGTACGACAATAATAAACATAGGCTAACAATGTGTGACAGTGAGAACACAAAAAATAGGATGTGAACTGTGAACTTTATTAACTTATTAAATCAACATGTCCATAACAAATGCTTTGATACGATTTGATTGAAAAGACTTTTGCAAAGGATTTTCCATGAACATCATGAACATCAGTGGATTATAAGTTGCTGGCTTTGTGTGCAGTATTGGAGTATGTTAGGCCTACTTCCTTTCATAAATGTTTTCTAGTCAGAAGTACAGTACATGTGCAGCACTGAGTAGCTGTTTGTCTTTCAAACTGCTACAGTAAAACTATGAACATAAAAGCTCACTCCTAATGAGCTCCACAGAGCACCTGTTCTTGCTCAGAAACTGCAGATTTCTCAGATTTTGCCTAAAATATTTGTCATTGTTTGCAGTAATACCATCCAAACAATGAAACCACACATAAATATCCGATCTACAAACACTTCTCAATTTAATTAAACACCATGGTTATGATTGCTCAGTAAATATATTGTATATATGTTTTCATTTTTCATTAATCCAATTGTTCATTCTATAGTATTGAATTATACAATTCTATAGATTGGTTAAGCA